CACCAAAGGGCTCTATAATCGTTTCTAATCTCTGCTTACTACGATCAACACCACGATAGCTAAATATGTTTATCGTTTAGATACTATATATCTAAAAACTAAATTCCACACACTATGTGTGGCAGCTTGAATAAGAATTGCCCTCATAGACTCCTATGTTTAAATTCTTGGTCCCCAGTTAGTGGAACTTCTTGAAAAGGATAAGGAGGTGTGGCCTCATTGGAGGTGTACCACTGGGCCCATGCCAGGCCCAGCGTCTCTCTTTTTCTACCTGTTGCCTGTGACTCAGGGGGCATAGCTCTCAGGTACTGCTCTAGTGCCATGTCTGTCTGTTCCGCACCATGATGGTCACGGACAGACCCTCTAAAACTGTAAGCAAGCCCCAAATTAGCTACCTTCTTTTCTAAGAGCTGCCTTGGTCACAGTGTCTCTTCACAGCAACAGAACAGTAACTAAGACAACATGCATGATACAGCGCTCACAACAGAATGTCTAGTTCCACAGGCCTGTGCTTTGTGTGTATGTGTGTATGTCCATGTGTGTCCGTATGTGTATGTTTGTATATATGCACATATATGTCAATGTACACATGTATGTGTGCAGGCCAGAGGTCAAAGTTAGGCTTCTTCTTCAGTCATTCCCCATCTTATTTTTTTCTCTGTTTTGTTATTTGTGTGTGTGTGTGTGTGTGTGTGTGTGTGCGTGTGTGTGTGTGTGTGTGCGTGCACATGCAAAGGTCAGAACACAACCTGTGGGAGTCTGTTCTCTCCTACTTGTGGGTTCTGGGAACCAAACTTTGGTCATCAGGCTTGGCCACAAGCATCCTCACCTGCTGAGCCATCTTAATGGCCTTCCCCCCCCACCTCACTCCTCCCCTTTTGAGACAGGATCTCACTTAACACGGAGCAGCAAGGCCCACGAACCCCCTGCCTCTGGCCCCCGAGCACTGAGGTTAGAGGTGTTTTCGAGGCAAGCTCTTGACCGAGGCATCTTCTCAGCTCTGAGCCAGCACTTCTTAAATACTAGCGGGGCTACCAAGACTTCCTTCCACCGTCACAGGCAGAGGGAACGTAGCGCTCCTTCTCCCTCTCTGTTTTCCTCATTGAGGCAAACCTGCACATGAACACACACGTGCACACATGTGCGCGCGCGCACACACACACACACACACACGTGTACACACATATAAACATACATTCATACACATATACACATACACTCACATACATGCAGAGAGATACAGAGCTGACCTAACAAGAATTTATAGCAAGTTCTTCAGAGACTTCATCACTGACCCTCCTCTGAGTCACACTCAACGAGAGCTCTGAGCTCTCTTTAAGACCCCAAATCAAATGAAATAAAACTAAGAAACGACCATTTAAAAAATATTGTCCAAATCAACCTGTTTAGAGAAGACACACCCCAGCAAAGGGAAGAGTTCCCCTAAATAGAAACCGCGCTGTGTAAATGGCGAAGGCAGGGACACTAAGAGATAAGCAGGCTACCGCCCACAAGGGTGCTGGAGAGGGGGGCTGCAGTCTCCCAAATGCCAGAAACGGCTTCCTTCTGGGGGAATCCAGCCAGAGACAATGTCACCTTCTACTTTTGCCCAAAGGTGCCTATGTGCCCACTGAAGCCAATGCTGAAGGTATGTTGCTGAAACCTTGAAAAATCCAAGTGTTAGAATTGGTGGAGATAGCTCAGTCATTAAAGCACGTGTACATGATGATGAGGACCTGAGTTCAATACCCCAGAGTCTACCTTTAAAAAGAAGCAAGCTCTAAAAGCTAGGCATGGTTGCATACCCCTGTGATCCCAGCACCGGGGAGGCAGAGAACACATTCTTGGGGCTCAACGGGCGGCCAGACCAGCTGAATCAGCAAGCTCCAGGCCAATGAGAAGCCCTGTCTCATAAAACAAGGGAGATGGTTCCTGAGGCATGCCACTCAAGATTGACCTCTGGCTTCTGTGTAAATGAACAACCACATGAACACACACTCACACATGCATTCACAGACACAGACACAGACACACACACACACACACACACACACACACACACACACACGTAAATACAGATGCCAGCCTGCATCATCTCCAGGAAGATCGTGGCATGCTGCTTTGATGGTATTCCATCCTGGCCACCTCCATTGAGCCCAGGGCCAAGACCACTGCTGGGCACCTTTGCTCACCACCCGCAGAGGCATTCTGAGCACCAGGCTAGACCTGGCAGCACAGAGTCACAAAAGGGTGAGCACCAACCCGCACTTGGCCAAAGGCTTGGGAGTTTGGGTGTCAGGTTTCGTGGGCTTCATCATGGTCTGATTTCACAAAGCAGGAACAAGCATCTCTGAGAAACACATATGGAGTTCCTGATTCCCACCCTTGGCTGTTTACTGTCTCTCAGCCCCGAAGCCCAGGCTAGAAGAACAGGCCTCCCAAGATAGTGCAGCTGCACCCACAGGGGGATGAGGATACGTGTAAGGGCCCACACTCTTGAAGCCACGGTTCCTCTCTCCAGCGGAGATCCTGCTCAAGAACCCTGGGCATCTTTGGTCTGGTCCTTCCTCCCTGAAGTTGGCACAGCCACTTCCGGCTCATGCTTCAAGCATATACTTTAAAAGTCTTCCCAGGAGTCACAGATACAACCCCTGGGTGCTGAAGGGAACCGCTACCGAAAAGCACCAGCCGTGGCTTCTCCCTCGGCCATCATGGCAGGCCAAGGATGGAGGCAGGTCTCCGGCACCTATAAACACAGCTGCTCTCCCTCAGCCACAGACAGGAAGCACATGCTCGGAATGTGAATGGCTGCAGACAGACAGAGCAAACCCTCACTTTTGCCTTGGTCCCACACGCCGATGAGTCCACGGCTCCTCAGATACACGTTCCACACAGTAAACCACCCTTGGCTCTGTCCACAGGCTGACGGCCCTCACCTGTGAAATAAGCTTAAAACACTGTTCCCCTCCATCTTCTCCCTAAGCCCCAGCACAAGGTAGGAGCAGGTGTCTGCTGAGCAGGGAAGCTTTGGAAAGGGCTATGGCAAACTATGCTAATCAATAGCCATTACCAAGGACTGAGGATGGTGGTGACTCAGGCCTCCTGCGGAGGACAAGAATTTGAGGAGCAGACAAACCCAGCCAGCTACTCAGTCCTCCCTAGGGCTTCTCTGCCACAGCTGGGGAAGGGAGCGGGCCTGCTGGATGCTGAGTCTGGGACCTCCCCAGACGGAGAGCAAGCATGCTGCACACATTGCAAGAAACATAGCCCCCATGACAGTTTGGGGCACCCAGGATTGATGGTTTCGTGTATAAGTTTTCCATTTTTGGCATCGGCTAATTAGGTTTGAGCTTCTAACACTCACAGCTGAAGGAATCGCAACTACCTCTTGGTGTATTTGAATATTCAATACATATATTAATTTTATAATCATAAAGTAAACATCTAAAGAGACCTGTCTGCTGCACATCACAGCAGAAAAAAGCCCTGAACAGGAACCCGATAAATGTGGATGCCGTGCTGGGCCCGTAGGAATTCCTGTGTGACTTTGAACAAGTTTCTTAACCTGGCTGGACTGCAATAAAAGTAAGGAACTGGGGTTGATGATGTCTTTTATTCCTTCGCATGAGATGTATTTGATTTGATGACATCATCAGACTAGTATTTGTTTTCTTTCATTTCTTTTCTTTTTTTTTACTTCACAGGCAGGGTCTCTGTGTATCCCTGGCTGTCCTGAAGCTTGCTATGTGGATCCAGCTGGCCTCGAACTCACAGAGATCCACCTGCCTCTGCCTCAGGGTGCTGAAATTAAAGGTGTGTGCCACATGCCTGATACATCCTTTCATTTTTGTTGTTGGCTTTGGGGCTTTTTGTTTGACTAATATGCCTCCACTAGCTACCTGTGTCTATTAGGTCCTTGAAGTGTGGCTAGAGCAAAGTGAGACATGGGAAAGTGCCAAACACAAGCTATAATTCAAAAAAGAAAATATGGGCACAGGAAAAAAAATGCCAAACACCACTCATCAACCCTAGACTGGCCCAGACTGGGAGGGTAGCCCTTGTGCTGGCTTCCAGTCCTGAGCACACTGAGGAAAGTTCTGTGGCTACAAATCCAGTCAGTCACTTGATATTTTCATCTGTCATCTTTACCCATGGACTGGGTGGAGTCCAGAGCGGAAGCAATCATCTAGCATTAAGGGGTTCCATGAGAAGAACTAAGGACCCCCCCCCACTGAGCTGAGGTCTGGGGTGAGGTGACATTTGCCTTGGCTCTGTCGTGTTTGTAACCCAGACATGCAGGTCAAAGATGGCCCCGTGACTGAAGTTCCAGATGAGTCAAGGTAAAGAACCCTGCACCCCAGGGATGAGTTCTACCACCTGACTCCCACGTTCCCCAAATGCGAGGTCTAGTTTTAACGAGCTAGCCTTTTCGTTCCAGAAAGCCACATGGGTGTGAGTGAGGTGGTCCCAAGGGCATTCTCGCCCCTTTGGGAAAACATACCTGGGTCAAGGTACCTTTGTTGATGCTACAGGAAGGATTGTGGTTTCACGGGCTCTCGTGAGGAAGAAGCCTGGCCCCTACCACTGCTAACTTTGCTTTCTGGGGTGATGAGGGGAAAAAAAAAAAGATAGCACAAGATCTCAAAGCCCAGAGGTGCTTGGGGGGCAACAGGATATATTTACACACAAAATGAGCATATATGTATTCCTCTGTGTGCCACATGGACACCATTCTTCCGCCAGAAACTCACTCTGTTGGGTTTTTGTTTGCTCGCTTGCTTGCTTGCTTGCTTGCTCATTTTGTTTTACTTTTTCTTGCAGTATAGGGGTTGAACGCCAGACCTTGCACACACGTGCAAGCATTCTACTACTGAGCAGCAGCCTTGGGCCACAAGAACAGTGAGTCTTGTGGACAGAAAGCAATGGGTCTTGCCATGGGCAGCTCAGGCCTCCTCACCTCTCCTGCCCCTGGCCCGACTGAGCCGCACGGGGGCACTCACCAGGTTTGATTTCCAGGAGTCGCAGCTTTGGGTCCTCTGGTGGATGCAATCGTCGCTTCTTGCGCCAGCAGCGGGCAGGGTACGTGTACAGCTGGCCGGGAGCAAGGCCTGTGGACAGATACAACGTAAAGAGAAAAGGCTATAGGCCAGAAGGGACATCACAGACTGCCCTGCCTAATCTTGTCATTCGCAGTGAGAGACAAGTAAGGCACAGAGAGGTAAAGGAGCTTGTGTCACCCAGCTGGGCCCCGGCAGAGCCAAGGCGTAACCCATTATGACTTCCATTCTGCCTACTCCATCACATTCTTCACCAGGCCCATTGCCAGGCAGAGCCAGGACCTTTAGCAAAAGGTATTACCTGGCCTGCTGTCCCTCTGTCCAGGGCCAGATTAGGCTGGCTCCCTTCAAGGAGGAACAGCAGAAGTCAGTAAACCTACCTTAGACCTAGCCTCGACTGAGAAGCATTTCAAAGCCACAGCATCAAAGGAGCCAGATCTGCTTGCAGCGCTCTCCCACCGCCTCAGGTCATTTGCAGAGGCCAGAGAGGACTTGGGCAACTCGTGGAGGCATGGTTTACCCTGGACACCCACTTGCATATTCTGTGTTCCTAGACTTCCCGGTCCACATGCCAGGCCTCCCACAAAGAAATCGCTAAGTCCAGAGGATGAACTTACAGTCAGAAGTCCACAGGATGGGTAAGAATGCACTGTCTCCCAAAAGCAGTCCCTATCAATATTTGGTCTTTAACACCACCAGCTTCATTGCTATGCCAAACATCCTGCATACACATGTGCACACATAACGAGAGAGAGAGAGAATTGTGTGTTTGTGGGGATGGGAAGATGGCTCAGTGAGTAGAATACATGCCACACTAACATAAGGACTTGAGTTCAATTCCCAGCACTAGGGAACACGCGCCTACCACCCCGAGTCCCGGGGAGGAGAGGTGGAGACAGTTGGATCCCAGGAGCTTGCTGGCAGCCAGTAAAGCTGAAACAGCAACCTCGGGGTTCACTGAGTGACCCTGCCTCAAAAAATAAGGTGAGGAACAATGAGAAAGATACCCATACTCAATCGATGACTTCCACGTGCATGCCATGAGTGAGTCTACCTGTACATACACACACATACACACACACACACATACCACCACCACCACAAGGTAAGAGGGAGAACAGCGTCACTGACTCGTTTGTCATATTTATTCATTCACTGGGCTGGGTCCAAGGCAGAGGCAACCATACCAGCATTAAAGGATGCAAAACACTCATGTAAGTTTGTCTGCTAAATACCATAGTTTGCAGGATGGTAATAGACTGGGGACTTGTACCTACACTCCATTGAGCCTCAGGAAATATTAAGGTCAGAGTTAGAAGGTCTAAGGACTGGCCTGTACCAGGTGGCCAGAAGACTAAATGAGTCAAATAAGTCATCGTGAGTTCCCTGGCCATGGAGAAAGGGGGCAGCTGTGACCTCTTTCTGGGAGAAAGTATCCCCAGAGACAGATCCATGTTTCTGTCGTGACCCACTTGAGGGGATATGTTACCTCCAGTCCTTTCGATGCTGAATAGACTCTGGGTCCCATCCAGACATCCAAGCTACTTCTGAGGAGGGTCCCCCAGGATCTTAGCGAGGAGGTCCTGGCCCGCTCCCCCGCATCACTGAACAAATCCCAGGAGTCACCACTCATTTGGGGCTAGTGACCCAGTAATCAGCTGAGACGGCAAGTGCCGGGAGAACTCAGACATTCCAGGGCCCCAAACTCACACCAGACCTCTGGTCCTCTGAAGGGAGGTAGGCTGTTAAGGGAACTCAACAACTGTTTTTAGGAACTTTATAGATTGTCTTAATGCCTACTGAGAACCTCTGGAGGCCTGAATAGCATCTCCTGGCTGCTTGCCTGTGTTCTCTGATGTACCAGGACTGGTTTAATGGCCTTTCCTGCAGGATCCTAATTCCTTGTATTTCCCCCAAGGCACTCTAAGCAATTGCCTGCATACTAGTATCTCCCCTACTGGTTTAGAAAGAGCTGCAATGGCAGGAATCACAGCCTCTCTCATGTTCCCTGTATTTAGCACACCATACTTGGAAGCACCTCTAGGAATCATCATACAAAGCTCAACAAGAATCAGCTACAAGAAGGAAATAACCATTGGCCCTGATGGTCCTGCCTCCAGGTTACTCACTCACCCAGACACAAACCACTCAAGAACAGCTAGGATATGGCTCAGGGGTAGAGAACTTACCAAGCATGTACAGGACCCTGGGTTCAGTTCCCAGAACCGCAAGGAAAGAAAACTTCTTATTTGGCAAGCCATCCGAGAAGGTGGGCTCTGGACGGGAGTTCTGAGTCCACCAACATCTATGAGTTTTCTCCTTGCCCTGTCCCCTGGTGATCCCTGATACTTCCAACCTGAGCCAAGGTAGTAAATGAGAAGAAGCTGGCCCTGACCAGCACTCACAAAGGCTGTAAGGAGCCAAAATGTGCAGATGTCCACACATGTCTGGATACTCCACGCTCCCTACATTCTAGTCACTGCCCTGTGGGCTAATGGCACCAAGGCCACCCAACTGGTGGCTAGACACCCTCTTTTCTGGAGAGTAAAGGTTAACAACACTTCGGATGTCCAGAAGACAGGCTGGCTTTACTTTTACTTTCTAGCTTGGAGAAGCCCTGTGATGCAGAACAACCTCATGCATGTGTGTTAGAAAACTCTACAGCCAGCACACACCTTTAACCCCAGCACTCCAGAGAAGAGGCAGGCAGCTCACCAGGAGCTTGAGGACAGCCTGGTCTACAAACTGAATCTAGGACAGCCAAGGTCACACAGAGAAATCCTGTCTTGGAAAAAAGGAAGGCAGGAAGGAAGGAAGGAGAAAGGAAAGGAAAGGAAAGGAAAGGAAAGGAAAGGAAAGGAAAGGA